GACAATCAAATTTTCGAGTGTTATGATGCGATCGAGTATCATGTGATTAAATTTTGCAATCATATTTAATTGCGGAACACATAATATAATTTAAAGTACATCTCATGAAATAATATCAAATATGACATGTGATGAGATATAATTAATTGGGACAAAATTGAATCAATCTAAAGGTGACATGTGGCACCTTAAGTGCCAAGAATATAAAAAAAGGGAATAAAGTGGAAGACTTGGGGTCTATTTGGTTTGCGTTTCAAAAAATAATATCCGAAAACAGTTTTTGAGAAGAGTTTTAAGAAAATATTTTTCAAAATTTTTAGATTACAAAATATGTTTGGTTATATATTTTTGAAAATAGTTTTAAAGAACAAAAATTATAAAATTTGTTTAGACAATAATTTACAATTCACACCTCTCTTCAACTCTCTCTCTCTCTTTCATTGTGCATCAAAACGACTAGCACCACCATATCTTGAACTTTCACTGTGTAGCAAGACCACCACCACTGTCACTCTCTCGTTCATTGTGCATCAAGACCACCACCAAAAATCACAAGCATTGAAGCCAACAACCACCCAAAACCCACAACCACCACCCAAATTCCACAACCACCTCCGAAACCGAGAAGCACCACCCAAAACGTCAAAAAAATCAAATCATAAAAAACAAAAAAAATTAGATATGTGTTTGATAAAAAAAACATTATATCTGTCTCAATATTCTAATTATTTACGGTGGTCACAGTGGATCTAGTCGTTGGAGAGCTCCAGTGTGTGTGTGTGTGTGTTTTGTCGGAGAAGATGCAGTCGCCGGAGAGGCGCAGTCACCGAAGAAGACTTATGTCTAAGAGAGTCTGTGGAGAGAAAGAGAAAGACGGAGAAACTTAGAGAGTGATGAGATCTGGGAGGACAAATGCAAAAAAAAAAGCTTTTATACTGTGGCTTGTTTTTTCTTCTAAGAGAACTCGAAAAGGGGACCTCATTAAAAAGTAAAACTATCTCCGTGTTTTCAAAGTTTTGGCAGAAAAACTTGAAAACAAACTCAACTTGTTTTCTAGTTTTATGCTTCAATTCTCTATTTTTTCTGAAAATTGGAGAACAAAATTACAAACCAAACAAATTTTTAAATTTTTTTGAGATTTGAGAACAAAAAATAGTTTTCAAGAATCAAACCACACATGGCCTTGGTCTTCACTTATTTTGTTTCTTCATAATTTTGATATTAAGAGAGAAAGAGAGAAGAAATTCATTTCTCTTCAACTTCTCCTTCCTTTTTCCTGGCTCAATTACAACACATGGAAAAAATTTGAGTTTTGATTAGAGGTTGAATAAAGCATTGTTTGATATCATGAGGAGTCATTCTACTTCGTACACACGCTACAAAAGGTAAAGTTCCTTCCTATTGAGGTTTACTTTCAATTTAGGGTTGCTATATGGAATAAGTAGGACTATGAGTGTGTATATCACATGTTTTAGGTATTGATTAGCATAACTAATGGGTTAAGGTTGAATATGATCATTGGGTGAATCCTCACCTTGCTTAAATTTGTTTTGATGAAATTGATTATTGGGTATACTATATGTTTACATTGTATGGACCATATGTGTTTGATAAAATGTCTTAATGAAATCAAGCATGTTAATTGAGCTAATCAATATATTTAACATGTGATGGGTGAATAATATAATGTTGTTATATGCTCTCATGCTATAATTAACATTATGATGAAACTTATGTGACTTTGTTGTAGTTATGCGTTGTGTTTACATTTCATACAAGTGTTTTAATAAAATGCTTAAGTAAGTTTATTGGATGACATGCTTGAAAATGTTTATGATTAATGACATGTTCATTGTATGCTTTATGATATGATGAGTATGATGATATAAATTGCATTTGCACATTACATTTTGCATATGCATATTACATTTATATATGCACAGGTTGTACTACATTCATAGGGCATTGACATGAGTGTGAGCATGTATGCATGGGTTTGGGTCAATCATGTACCATCTAGGTGAGTTGACGAGTGGGCTCGGGGAAGGTTAGACTTGGGTCTGGCTAAATCGCATTAGAATTGCATAAATAAATGTGCCAGAATGTAATAAGAATGACTAGATTCTCCATCGGTTGCAAGATTCGATAAATGTTGGTTACGCGCTTTATGTTGGTATAATGAGCCCATAAAAGCATGATGGCAAAAACAAAGGCACATGTAGGATGTCTTGAGGATTCGTAGACGGTGTGGTCTTCTGTTGGTGAAATACCATAAATCGCCACCCCAAAAAAATACGAAAATTAAATTAAATGGTCATTGGATGTTTAATATTAATGTCAGGTCCCAAATTCATACACATGGCATTGTTTATGTTATGGGAGTTTGGGATGAGACTCGGTATTGACATTGCATGTATGAGTTTACACTTTATGACATGACATGCATTAGTAGCATTGTTCATGTTTATATATGTGAATTGAATACTTTGAAATGTTTATGATTGCGTAACATTTCATATGCATATAAATTGGGAGCTGATCTTTATCGGAAATACCCTGTTGAGTGTGACTCACTCTTTATGAGAATATATTTCAGGTATCAGATAGACTTCCACTGGAAACCCTCACTTGAGCCCGTATTGATGATAGAGTCAGGGTTGTGACTCTTGAGTTATATTTTGTAATTCCTTTACATATTTACATTTGACAATGTATAATTTTTGTAAAGAAAATTTGTTTTACATTAAAAATGCATGTATACGAGACTTTCAAAGAGTAATTCTTTTTTGTTGAAAAAATGTATACATACATGAAGTTATGGTTTGATATTCAATGCTATATGATTGAATATTGATAGTTGTGACCCGGTGTAGTCAATGGTTATGATTGCACATATTGTGTGTGTTGGGTAAAACTCTCTTATACAAAAGAGATTCTGCTCAGAATTTGTTAAAATTATGGACACCGGTGAATGGGACATCACTACATCGGATTAAGTGATATCATGGGGTATTCCACAGGTTATTGAGTGACCAAAGGGTTAATCGGGACTCTCGAGAATTGTGGCGTCACAAGTTTTGGACTGAATTTTATCGTTTAGGCTTTCAAAATCTCATTTTTACCATTTTAAGAAAAAATTTAGAAATTAATAATAATTCATAAAAGATTTTGAATTCAGTACTGTCAGTTTTATTATACTCCAAACAACACGTGTTTATTAATTAGTTAGATTATAATTTTATATTTTTGTTAATTTTCGTATAATTAGGGATTTTACTTATTTTATGAGGACGATTAGGGTTTTTGTCATTCCTATACATATTCTCTTATGTAATACGGAGTTATTCATTAAATAATATACATTTTTAGAGACATTCTCTTATTTTTTTTCTCTTTGAATTTAGAGAGTCTGTGTGTGTGCGCTCTATATACTTAGAATCGTAGTGTTTTTTGTGTTCATTTATTTCGCTACGTCATACATACAAGGATGAATGTTTATTTTTTATTTTTTGTTGAACAATCTAAGATGTCCGAATCAGTTTATATGCATCTCAAATACTCTCCTCGTTGTTTTAGTAAAAAACATGTTATTTATGTCGAAATTAAAATATTCATAAGTGATAAATTTTTTATAATCTGATCCCAAAAAAATACCAAGATTTAAATTTAAGAAGTTTAGGGAGTATGTGTTTACAGTTCATCCATTTGGAGTTTTGGAGGGATGTTTATGTCATTTCATTTTAAATTGCAACAAACAAAACTCTTATTCCCCTACAGATGCCCATATACCCGATTCAACATCTTTTTTCCAATCAAGATAACCATATTTTCATCAAGATTTCAATTTTGCTCCAAAAAAAAAATGATTTCTAATAAAACCCACGCCGGCGGTGGCAACTGTCAGAGACCCGCCGTGTCTGCAAATATATAAACGAAGAGTCAACATGTTACATAATCAACGCCACGGACAGAGCACACTATCTTTTTTCTGTTGCTGTGAGGCTCTGATAACATGGCAAGTCAAATCCCCATTTCATTTTTCCCCTAAATACTCGCACCGCAATTACTACCCACTAACTAAACTAAACCTTCTTCTTCTCTCTCTCTCTCTACTCATCAACCTATTCTTTGTCAACCCAATTATCATCTCAATTCCATCATTTTGTTAGAGCAGGTTGTCAGAATTTTCCCAGAACAAAAACTCAAAATTGAAGCTTAATTTTCAGAGCTTCCATTCTCAAAATCGACCAGCCAAACACCGTTGAATTTCTATAGAGAGAAACAGAGTCCAATCTAAATCTGGGTTTTCGTTGTTCTTCAGAAAGAGAGAGAGAGAGAGAGAGAGAGAGAGAGAGCGAGGCAACTGGGCTTTCTCCGGTCTAGTGAGAGAGTGGATTGTTTGGCTTTTTCTACATAGAGGGAAGAAGTTTTTACTTGTTCTTGTTAATTGTTATCTATTCAATTACAGTCCCTTCTCAGTTCAAAAAAAAAATTTACAGTCCCTTCTCGATAGAAAATTTTTAATCTTTTTCGTCAACATTCGACTACTATACAAAGAAAAGCACAAAAAACATACAGAAAAACGATACGTAGAGTCGTGACGTATATGGATATCGCCTAAAATGACATTTCGTCTTTTCGGCTTTTGTGTGATCTGTGCAGTAGTTGTGTCTTACAAGCAAACGAGTAATTAAATTGATCTCGTGCGATTTTTTATGAGTGGTCTTCTTTTGCAAACTCTCCAATCTTTATCTGAAGGACAATAAAGTCTTCTCTTTTCTCTACTTTACCCAAACTTAGATTCGAAACTTTGGGTGTTTCGTAAAAGCCATTTTGCTTTATATAGCATAGGCGAAATTTGAAAATCTCTCTGTTATTGAAGGGTGTGTTTTGGGCCTTTATAAAGGTTTACTGGTGACTACTCTGGTTGGTGCGTCAAGGATAGCTGAGAGGAGAGAGAAGCAGGAACTTGAGAGGAGAGAGAAACAGGAGCTTGAGAGATGGGTTCTTATGGGATGCTAGCAAGAAGAGCTTTGGAGACAGAAACACCAGTTATGGTTCAGGTATATGTGTTCAATTCAGTTCAGACCCTTAAATGGTTCATGTTTGCTTTCTTGGTTGTGTGTGTAATTGGCCTGATTTCCATAATTCCCCTCTTTGTATCTACATAAATACATATACATATGACATATATACCTACATTGGCCGAGGTAGCAGAGAAATGTGTGAAGTGTTTTTGACAGTAAAATGTGGTGTGTTTGCAGATACAAGAACTGCACAGAGGCAACAAAGATGCCATGTCCCTGGCTCAGGTTTGTTTACTTATTCCGATGTTTGTTATAGAAGTTATTTAGTAGGTTGGTTATCCATCTTAGGAGCATGGATACCGAGAAATTGAGAAATGTGAACAGTTTTCTGCTGCCTTGGGTCTTTAATCTATAACTAAGGTTTTTAAATCCATGAAATGCGTGCATATACAACCTTCCTCCAATGTGACCTTGTCCAAATTGCTGAAACTCGAGCAGCATTGGATGCCTTGAAAATTTTAATTCTTTTGAGTACTAGCTAAAATCAACCAAGTTTAATTGGGATTCCAATGTATGATCTCAATATAGATCAATTGGTTGATGATTGTGTTATTGAAAATTCTTGTGGAACCTTTTTCTTGAAATTGTTAGTTTATAATTTGCAGACTGGTCTAGAAAATTTAAAACCATGATAGTGTGTTCTTCACAGAGCTGGGATTTTTAAGAAAAGTGTTTTGGGAAAGGTTCTGGGCATAAGGGAAATATAGACACTGCTTATGCTCCTAGAATCCAAATGTGAGCTCTGACATCTTGCTGCATATATGAAGTTCAGGCCACTGCAAAATTTCAAGATGACATGGTTGGTGCTCCGATTCAATTGTGCTCATGGAAATTGATTATGCCAAGAGTGGAGCGATACACCAAAAAGTAGTTTCATTTGGTTTTTTTAACCTTGCTTTTTAACAAATTTTGTCGGTTTATCAACCATTTTTCCACCTTGCATCGAAACTGCTTGTCGTTTTATCAACCTTTTTTTCACTTATATCTGAAGAAAGTTTGTCGGTTTATCAACCACCGTTTATGAACCATTATCTCACTTCAGAGTTTGTCGGTTTATCAACCACTAATATGTTGCAGTATTCATGTTTTTGTCGATAACTTTCATTTCGCTTTATTGATCAGGTGAGAGATCAGTTGCTAGACCCATGCATCATCCTCACTAAATAATTTTACTTTAGTGCAATAGTTATTTGTTTTCCAATTCAGTATACTCTCCTGATATTGCTAAGATATATATTCCTTTAAAAGTTTAATTCCTATTTCTTCCCTGGCTTGTGATGAAGCCCCCAAGGATGCCCTTGAACAATTATAGAAAACTTGTGGTATATTGCTTGCAAATATTAATGATTGTATGGATTTCATGTTGTGTCCGATTGCCATTGGCACCAATCAGATTTTGATATTCCACATCATTTTCATCTAGTAATACTAGAGGGTTACTTGACCTATGAATGGTGATTAATTGTAGTGGAATTTTGGCTTAAAGCGAAGCATAAATGGTATGCTGCAGCACAATTAATGACATGTTTATATGAGGTTGCTTACGATTATATTTTGAAGTAATACTGCACTAATAGACCTTGCTTTTTCCATTATTTTTTGGGCTTGAAATCCCAAGTCCCAACAATGAATATACCTAATCCTTGGCACTAATTAATATGCAATTGCCCTGACTTTTTACTATCAATCGTTATATGGTAATTGCCTTGCCTACCCCTTGTCTTCTTTCCATAATAAACCAACAAAAAAGAAAGAAATGAAAAAAACCACACATACTATTTATTGTGTTTGTTTGACATTCCCTCTCGGTCACCTAGGTCCAACTGATTAGGCAACTTCTGCTAAACAACCATCTACTCTAGAAATTTGAGTGGTTAGAGAGATGTCATTTAAGTATTTGTACTTCAACACGCCCCCTCACATATAAGCTAGATTTTGGGTTTGACACGTGAATTTTTTTTAATAATTAGTGTGGTAGCGAAATTCGAACATAAGAACCCCTCCTGCCCTGATACCATATTAAATAATCATCTACACTAAAAGTTTAAACTATCAAAGAAATTGTAATTTAAGTATTTATGCTTCAACAATTTCTTCCGTCGAAACGGGATGATGGTAGTTGCCCTCACAAAGAAAACTAAAACTAACCAAAACAAAAGGAAAACCCACTAAAACTTATTGCGTGTAGTTGATTCTAAGTCACCAATATTTTCTGGATATTTTAGTTGGTACACTAGCTGAAATGTTCCAGCATATTTCATACATCTTACTTGGAAAATTGCTGGGATCTCCACTGAATCTGTTCTTCTTCATCCTACTGTCATCTAGGGCGTAGTGTATTGGCAACCACCCAAGGATGCACTGGAAAAGGTGAAAGAACTTGTATGGGATCCTTCAATAAGTCGTTATGGTGCTGACGAAGGGCTTCCTGAGCTCCGGGAGGCACTGATTAAAAAGGTATGGCCAAGTGCTTCAATTTGTCAGCAGTTGAAGGTTTATTTTATGGCTGTAACAGTTGGTAACCTCACCGCCCTAAGTGCCATGTTTTGTTTTTCATGTCTGACTTCTAGACATTGTAGTTTCATTTCTTATAGATGTTCCATCAGAAAAATCACCACAAGGATTATGCCAGTTCAAATTTTAATTCTTTTTATATGTCCTTGCAGCCTGTAGGCATAACTGAAAGCTGTACTATAGTTACAGCAGCTAAAAAATGTTATTTTCTACTTGCTTCTTACAAGCTATTTTCTTCTATTTTTCTCTGTTTGGCAGTTGCGTCAAGAAAATAAGTTATGCAATTCGTCAGTAATGGTTACTGCAGGTGCAAATCAGGTAATTTTGTTGCTTTCTAGGTTTATTTTATATGAGTAGTAAACAAAGCAAATGCCTGGTTTGGGTGACTAGGAAAATTTAATTGGAGGTACAAGGTTTTCTCCCAAAGTTTATCGTAGAAGTAAAGAGCAAAAGGCCCATATGAATGCTACAGGTCATCTTATTGCTGATATGTACTAGCTTTTAAGCTTCTTTTGGTTTCGTATAAAAGTCATTTAATCAATTTAAAGTACGGAAAAATTTTCTTACGTTTGGAATTTGACTTCTGTTTTTTTTTGGCTGCGGCCAAACATGTGAACTTTCCTTTTGCTGTTGAAAATGTTAAGGAAATTGTCTACCCTTTTAACTTGCAGGCATTTGTGAACATCGTTCTTACATTGTGCGATGCCGGGGATTCCGTTGTTATGTTTGCACCTTACTACTTCAATGCATACATGTCGTTCCAGATGACAGGTGTGACTAACATACTGGTGGGTCCCGGTAATCCAGAGACACTTCATCCAGATGCAGGTTAAGGAGCTTCATGAACTCTCTTGGATGTGTTTCGAGTCCTGTGATATCAATGATATGTCTGACATTCCTGCAAGGACACTTCAGCGATAATAACAGATATTGTCTTTTATGTCTATCCCTTCCCGGGCCCATGGTAGCACCTTGGGCTTTAGTAGTGAAGATTTGTTTGGATTGGGTTTAAGTATGAAAATTTTAAATTTTGGTCATGTTTCTAAAATATCTTGTTATCTGATGAACATATCCAATTTCAAAATCATCTTCATTTTGCAACAATGAGCAGCTCATTCGTCTTTATATAGTCTTGGTAGGGAAATATTGGAGAATTAATTCTTTTTTTCCATTTGAGTACGACATGCTTGTCATTTTCTTGATTTTCAGACTGGTTAGAAAAGACTTTATTGGAAGCAAAACCAACGCCAAAGCTTGTTACTGTTGTTAATCCTGGCAACCCATCAGGAACTTACATTCCGGAGCCTCTTCTCAAGGTCTCTCCCATTCCCTCTCTCTCTTTCTTTGAATATGATTGCGGTTCCCTGTCCTACAGGAGTTGAGAATAAACTTTTCTCTCTTCCTGTTTCCAGGTTTTTATTAGATACTCTAACTTTATGTTTTACTGCTTCGAAGCAGAGAATAGCAGATCTCTGCAAAGATGCTGGATGTTGGCTTGTTGTTGATAACACCTACGAGTAAGTATATTCTTTTTCTGTCTAGTAACAAACTGCAACAATATTTTCTCATACTGATCTCGTTATGATGTTCCTTGACATTGCTAAGTGCTTTAGAAGAAAAGATGTTTAAAATACGAGTTAATATGATAGCTACTTTATTTTTTTTGTGTATTTAGTTTTTGATGGAAGTTAATATCATGGGCTATATCATAGGAATTGTCTCATTTGGTGATTATTCGTTTTGGACTAACCCTTGAGAGAACTTTTTTCTGGTGATTTAGATTAAAAAGCAGGGGGGTGCAGGCTTATTCTCATATTCCGTCTAGAAAAGGGAGAAATGTTTTTGACACTTTAAGCACACATCTTACTATTATTCTGCAAATGTGTAATGAATAAGGCTGTTGGGCTTAATTTTGAAGTTTCATAATTCGTTTGGTTTTGTCAGTTGAAATAAGTTGTAGAAGGGATTAAAATTGTGGGTTATTAGTTGTACATTATTTTGGGCATCTAGTGCAATTGATCAAATAATATACCCGAAGATGTGGGCCTGCAATTAGTGGAGGTTTTTTTTTTGAACCCTGTCAAAGCTTTCTGTATTTACCCTATGTTGTGCTGCACAGAGAAGACAGAAATAACAACTCCAAGCAAAGCAAGAACAATTCAGGGTCCAAGTGACTGGACCAAGAGATAAGGTCTTGTCTTAACAGCATGGAGGGAAAATTTACATGGCCACCAAGCTGGTCATCTGGCCTATACACATAGGAAGACCTGATCGGGGTCCTAATTTGTTGAATTACTCACACACCCTAAAGTAAATAAATTCAACTTGTTACTTATCAGTCCTTTTTATTCTTTATTTTCACTTCAGGTAGGCATACTTCAACTCAAAACAATCTTGACTTATCGTTGCATCAGGACCGAATTAGGTTTGTTAGGCAACCGGTGCTGAAGCATAACAGGATAAGCATAGATTTGTGCTGACATGTTGGTGAGTCGCTAAAGAAAAAGAATTTCAAGAAATGTTAATGGCTCTATTGTTGTACAGTGGAACTTTGAAAAATAGACGTGGCACTGTAAGAAGTTGTGGTTGTGATTTTCTTGAATCTCAGGTCCTTGCACAGTCTGTTTATTGGGTAGAGGCATGCAAAATCCTCTATTTGCGAAAGTCAAATGAAAGTCCTCTTGTACTAATTCTATTGTAGTTGCAATTAATTTGGTGTGGATCAACAAAGGTTAAGCACGTGGCTACTTACCTAAGGCTTGCTACTCCGTCCAAGGAGATGCTGGTATGATGCATCGGCCTTGAATCAATGCAACTGAAATATCTGGCCTGTTTGATATGTATCATGTGCCATCCATCTATCACCAGATAGATAATGCACTTAAGAGAAATAGCAAGTTTACTGCCACGAGTATCGGTGGTGAGAATGAACCATTATTCTGGACAATATTATGTTCCATTTCAAAATTCGCCCTTAATAATCTTTGTACTTGGTTTATTATTTTTGAAGATGCGTAATTGTTCACTTGGAAGGTTATTGTATCTAACCAAGAGTTTCAACAATTATTTATGCAGGTACTTCATGTATGATGGTCGCAAACATTGTTGTCTTGAAGGCGATCATATTGTTAACATTTTCTCCTTCTCTAAAGCTTATGGGATGATGGGATGGCGAGTTGGTTATGTAAGTCATGCTTGAAGTTTCTTTTCTTTTATATCTAATGTAAAGTTTGGCCAAAATAAGTGGCTTTCTTGGGTTACATCACTAACATAGCTTTTCCCAACTTCATCTACGATTATCAGTTCCATTTTCAAGCATCCTTTCCTTTCCTGAAATATTTCAAATACTCCCACCTGTCTCTGATTTGGCAACTGGTGTCTTGTCTTAAGGTCATTTCATCATTTTCCATAAGACGATTCCATACACCACTAGTTTCACCTTGCTGTTCCACATGGTTGTGATTTGCTTTTGAAATTTAATTTTTCGAAAGATCCACAAACTTACACTACTTGTGTTTGGACCTATCAGTCTCAATGGTAATCTGTCACCTAGCCATTCATGAATATAACGAAAACATGGAATCCATATCATTACCTTTCTCAGTTTTTTTACCCAAAGCTCACCAACTACCCCCCTCCCTCACAAAAGAAAACGGAGAAAGAAGGATTGTGTGTTTTTTTTTTGTTTTCTGTGATTTCAAAATGCAAACAATTGTCTTTCAAAACATTCTCTATAATTGCTTTTTGTTTTTTCTCTTGTTTTCAAAAACAAAAGTTGGAACAGAAAAAAGAGAGGTTGTTGCTTGTGATAACAACTCAGGTCTTTATGCTTGCAGATAGCATTCCCTTCTGAAGTCCAAGACTTTGGAGCTCTACTTCTCAAAGTTCAAGACAACATACCAATCTGTGCTGCAATAATCTCACAGCGTCTGGCCCTTGCCTCCTTAGAAATGGGACCCGAATGGGTGACTGATCAAGTGAAAGACCTTGTCAAGAACAGGGACATTGTTCTTGAAGCGTTATCTCCCTTGGGAGAAGGTGCTGTAAAAGGCGGAGAAGGCGCGATTTACTTCTGGGCAAAGCTTCCAGACAAATATGTCGATGACTTTGGAGTGGTTCGCTGGCTTGCTCATAAGCATGGGGTGGTCATTATTCCAGGAAGTGCCTGTGGCTGTCCCGGGCATGTTCGAATCTCATTTGGAGGGCTGATGGAGGATGACTGTCGAGCTGCTGCTGGTCGGCTGAAGAAAGGATTGGAGGAGCTGGTGAGGGAAGGAATGATAGAGTGAGTGATTGGCCTTAGTTCATGTTGAATTTTGGTCTAAATAAGTTGTAACCAACTAAAAACTGGTGCATAATGCATCTCTATAATAACAATTGAAAGCTTTTCTGCTTCATAACCTCATCTGAGATGGAATCAAGTTCTTCCAAGAACCGTTGATCATGGATGGAACCACAGATCCATTTGAAATTCTCAATTCATAATTTGACGCATTTAGCTTTTCTTTTTTGTGGTTACATTGATGCTCTAGTCTTTCTCAACACTAGAAAAATAATCTACTAAATTACGTATATAATTAATTTCTATTTGTATTGGAATGGATCATGGGTTTGTGTTTGATATGGGTATGAGTCTATATGTGGGACATATAGTTGGATACATTCTTTTTTTTTTTTTTGACTTATTAAATGAAAGGTAAAAAAGATATTTTTATTCACAATATTAACACCGACTTAATTTTAACACCAATTGAAGTCAATGTGTAATTTTTTTTTTGGTAAGTATCATGTAATTTTTAAAATGTAAAAGGATGTGTGTAGGTATGCATGTCTATCGTATCAGGGAAGACAAATTCGTGTCAAAAAACAGTTTATCTATACTCGATTTTTTTTTATTAATTTGTGTTTAACGAATCATATTTTATATGTCAGATATGAATCGTGTATAATACATATATAAACCGGTCTGTATTGTGTATTTCTTTTAATTGACTTAAGTCATACCCGATTTGTTTATTAAACGTGACGTGTCATATCCATGCGTTTACGAAACAAGTAGTTTAAGAAAGATCAAAACATGAACCATAAGTCGCACATAAGTTGTCGGGTCTTAGGACCGAAGAACACCCAACATATATATGCACACTCCTCCATGTGAAATATTTATCTTCATTGGAACTTTTTGATAGTAGTCGTGATTAGGGGTGTCAAATATGTTGAATCGTTTTGTGTCAGGTTGATTTCGAATTTGTGTCAAAAATTTCAAAACCCAAATCTGACATATTTAATAATTGCATCGAGATATGTAAATACTAACCTGACTTGACCATTAAACGGGTTACCCAAATCTGACATGTTTGACCTGTTTAATAAACATGTCATTTTCGGGTTAACACACATAACATGATATGTTCAACTTGTTTAGCACACATAACATATATTTGTTTAACACACATAATCTTTTTTCACACTAGTTCATTACCATTAAATACATCATTCAATCATTCATCCAATTTTTCAAATATTTTTTTTACAAATAACATATCATATCTCATTAATGAAATTAACTAAAATATATTTAAGTTTTAACTCAAAAATTAAAACAAGAATTATACTAGTATATTGTTATAATAATGTTAAGAACTATACTGTCAATTACCATAATAGAAATAATACCTAATAAATAATAATGTTAAGATCACATCAGTTATACATAATAGACAAATTATATTGCCATAAACGGGTAAAACGGATTTGCAATGAGTTAGGTCGGATTCATATTCAAATCATGTCAACCCGTTTAAAATATACGAGTTAATAAGATCAAAATTGAATTGACTTGATTTTGACATGAACCCGACTTAATTTTTTTCGTGTTTAAGCGTGTTGACCAATTAATTTTATTAACTCGTTTAATTTTGTGTCCGACCAATTAATTTTATATTCGATTTGTGTCGTGTTTAAAATTGACAGCCCTAGTCATGACCAACAACCATCAGCTGTCAACTCATTGGTAAGGTAGAACTTCAAGCCCCGATTTCTAATGGTGTACCCCCCCCCCCCCACACA